TCGGATGGCGCGAACGATCCATCGATCGCGAACGTCTGCTTTTGCTCGCGTTACGCGATACGGAACCGCTTTTTCCGTTGCGGACGCGCGAGCCCCTCCCGTGTACACCTACTCGCCGTACATCGCGCGCCTCGTTTCGACGAGTTTGCAATTGTCGTTTCCCGGTTCAGAGAGAGAGAGAGAGAGAGAGAACGCGACGAATCGTATTCCGGCCGCGATCGCTTCTCCTCCTCCCGCTTAAAGAGGAGCGAACAAAGATCGCGCGTAATCGGATTTCGCTGCTCGTCGCTCGTTCCGCTGTTTCCGACTGCTTCGCGTACGCCCGCTGGCCGAGTCCTTCGAAGGTTCCGACGATCGATCGATCGTCGGACCCGAACCAGACGGTCGAACGACGATGCTCGTAATCCGGGCCCGAACAGACCCGAGCCTCGCCGTCCAACCGTCGATTCGTCTCACCGTGGCACCGTGGTACGATTCGTGTGTCTATATTTGTAAATTACGCCACCGATTTCGTACGAAAAGAAGCGTAAAAAGTCGTTGCGAGGCTCGGCGCGATTACCTAATTGCGGCGGCCTGTTTTTCACTTTTTTCGGAAACCGTCCGGCGATACCGAAGATCGACCAGTGGTTCGGCATTTTTTTTCGATCGTCGATCGGACGTTTTCAATGATCGCAACTAGACGGCCGAGGAGCGATATTCGAACGTTTCCTAAACGCTGGTCGCCGACGTCGAGCTCTCGGTTGAGCACGATCTCGGTTTCTCTTGCAACCCGACTCTTTCGGGAATTTTCCAGCATCGATAGAGACGAAGAGGCGTAAAAAGTTCCAACAGGCATGGAAAGTCCGAAATAAGTTATTTCAACCTTCGGTCGCAATTCCACGAATGTATTCGATACGCGAACAGCGTCGCAACGCGCGAACACGTTATAAAAATCATTTTTCTTCCAAATCGATTTCCTTGGGATACGAATCGAGTCTACCGTACTTGTGCGCGCGCGCGCGTGAAATTCTCGGTCCACTTGTTGCCCGAGCTAATACATATTCAAATTCGTATTAGACGAAACGTATCCTGTTAAGTTGCTTTCTACTTTTATATTTTCAAGAAATTTCAGATTTATAAAATAATAATAACCTCGGTTCGCTTCCGATCTTCGTTGAAACACCGTTCGATCCAATCTTTGCTCGACGGATTCTTTTCTGTCGTTTCTATCTTCCGATCGAAACGGAACGTTTCGTACTTGGAGCGCCGTTTGTCCCTTTCGCGTTCATTTTTTCAGCCAGTTTCCGAAACNGACGAGAGAGAGAGAGAGAGAGAGAGAGAGGGAGAGAGAGAGAGAGAGAGAGAGGGAGAGAGAGAGAGAGAGAGAGAGACGGTGTGGGAAGCGGCGAACCAGCGTCCCATGACTTTTTTCTTTTAGGCTCAGCCTGTACAAAGTACAAAGGAGTAGCAAGAAGCAGAATTCCTCGAAGCCATGACTCGGCAACTATCTCGGCGCTCGATCACGAATCACGATTCCGGCCCCGGACGCGGACGCGGCCGGCTGGCTACTCCGAGGCGAATTCGATGAAAACGTCCGCTCCGGAGAAGTTGATCCGAAAAATCATTTATTCGTTTCAGAATGTTCTCGCATCGATAACTTCCAGCTTCGAAACCAAGCTGAACCGATTAACCGACTTGCCTAGCTAACGAGCCGACCAACCGACCGACCAGCTTCGAAAAATCGCTTTCGTTCGCGTCGGATCGGTTTATTATTCGTTATTTCGATTCGAAGTAATTATATCGCGAAGAGCGAGCAGCCGGAGAAACGAGAAAACGAACGGCGGCTTCTCCGAGTTCGTTGGAAATTCGACCGTAGCGTTCTCGCGTTTCTTTCGATGGTTCGCGCAATAGAAATTTACCGAACACCGGAGAAATCGACCGCAAAGTTTGCGATAGAAATAGTTTCGCGCTCGGATGGCGCGAACGATCCATCGATCGCGAACGTCTGCTTTTGCTCGCGTTACGCGATACGGAACCGCTTTTTCCGTTGCGGACGCGCGAGCCCCTCCCGTGTACACCTACTCGCCGTACATCGCGCGCCTCGTTTCGACGAGTTTGCAATTGTCGTTTCCCGGTTCAGAGAGAGAGAGAGAGAGAGAGAACGCGACGAATCGTATTCCGGCCGCGATCGCTTCTCCTCCTCCCGCTTAAAGAGGAGCGAACAAAGATCGCGCGTAATCGGATTTCGCTGCTCGTCGCTCGTTCCGCTGTTTCCGACTGCTTCGCGTACGCCCGCTGGCCGAGTCCTTCGAAGGTTCCGACGATCGATCGATCGTCGGACCCGAACCAGACGGTCGAACGACGATGCTCGTAATCCGGGCCCGAACAGACCCGAGCCTCGCCGTCCAACCGTCGATTCGTCTCACCGTGGCACCGTGGTACGATTCGTGTGTCTATATTTGTAAATTACGCCACCGATTTCGTACGAAAAGAAGCGTAAAAAGTCGTTGCGAGGCTCGGCGCGATTACCTAATTGCGGCGGCCTGTTTTTCACTTTTTTCGGAAACCGTCCGGCGATACCGAAGATCGACCAGTGGTTCGGCATTTTTTTTCGATCGTCGATCGGACGTTTTCAATGATCGCAACTAGACGGCCGAGGAGCGATATTCGAACGTTTCCTAAACGCTGGTCGCCGACGTCGAGCTCTCGGTTGAGCACGATCTCGGTTTCTCTTGCAACCCGACTCTTTCGGGAATTTTCCAGCATCGATAGAGACGAAGAGGCGTAAAAAGTTCCAACAGGCATGGAAAGTCCGAAATAAGTTATTTCAACCTTCGGTCGCAATTCCACGAATGTATTCGATACGCGAACAGCGTCGCAACGCGCGAACACGTTATAAAAATCATTTTTCTTCCAAATCGATTTCCTTGGGATACGAATCGAGTCTACCGTACTTGTGCGCGCGCGCGCGTGAAATTCTCGGTCCACTTGTTGCCCGAGCTAATACATATTCAAATTCGTATTAGACGAAACGTATCCTGTTAAGTTGCTTTCTACTTTTATATTTTCAAGAAATTTCAGATTTATAAAATAATAATAACCTCGGTTCGCTTCCGATCTTCGTTGAAACACCGTTCGATCCAATCTTTGCTCGACGGATTCTTTTCTGTCGTTTCTATCTTCCGATCGAAACGGAACGTTTCGTACTTGGAGCGCCGTTTGTCCCTTTCGCGTTCATTTTTTCAGCCAGTTTCCGAAACGTCGAGTTCTGCTCGAGTTCGATTGGAAAACGATAAACTCGGTGAAACAACGATCGATTCGTGAAATTCGGCAAATAAATGCAAACTTCGATCGGAAGTTCGATATCGCCTCTTCCTCGAAAATGCGTAAGAAGTTGTTTCGAATCGCTGATCCAGAAGGACGCGATCTCGCGGACGACCGAACAGATTTTTCAGCACGAGCTGGTCAGAGAATGGCGCGCCTCGGATCCGGACCGGATCGGCTAGCCGAGCGAACGCTCTAATTCGAGGGCAAACCATGTCGCAAAGCCAATCAACCTTCCGAACGATTTAATAATCCCGACTATTGTCGAGCAGCTGGAGAGAGGTCGGTTCAATATAGCCGTTACCTGCACACGCGTATCGGTGCATACGACGCGCAACCGCGAGCGCGAGTCCGAGCGAACTGGTCCACGGCGCGAGCGGGCGAGGCTCGAAAGCCGACCAAAATCGTATCGTTCGTTTTTCAGGCTTGCAACGAAGATAATGCCGTTTTACAGGGTGTTGAAACAAGAGACTTTGGTATGCTCGCCGAGAGGAGTAAAGAACGACCAATCGACGCGGGTCCAAAAGTCGATCCTGTCGACTCGTAGTATTTACGAATGTTAGGAAACGCGAGTTTTTCCGCGACGCGAAGCGACTCGTTCGACGCGAACGAAGAGATCGATTCGGAAGTACTTACTCGTGTCCAAGGTTGTCGACGCGGGATGCGCGTTACACGAGCATCGACGCGAGCATTCTTTTCGCGAATGCAAATTTAATAGAAACCTGCTAAAAAGAAAAAAGCGTCCGTAAAGGGAAAAGGCGGTACGATTTCTTTGCGACGGGCGAATGCGGAAAATCCGTGATCCGGCCGGTCGTAGTTGAATCCGAATCGGTGCTGGAACCGCGAGAAAGCGAATCCGCGTCGTCGGCAGTTTGGTACCAGCCGAAGCTGACTCGCGCGTAGACGGCTCGTTGCCGGCCACGAACGTTGCATCGAAATGGAAATCAAAATCAAACCCGCGCGTTCTTTAGACTCGAGGCGCGTTCCTTCGTTATCGTTTCGTTTCGTTTCGGTAGAACTCGCGCAGCGAGCGTTGTAATTCTTCGCTGGCGAGCCGATAGAGCACGTCGCGAGTCCGTCCGAGACCTCGTTAGGTCGCACAGGCTCGAACAATTTCAACCGTCGTGTTTCGGAAATTACTCGTCGATGCGTGCACGCGTTGTTACGCGATACGACCGAGTTCTCGATCTATTCTCTTCCCGGCGTTATCGCGCGCGCGCGAGAAAGAGACGGCACGGTATCGCGGTAAACATTCGACGACGATTATACGCGGACACGCGACACGCGACGCGGACAATGTTTATTTATTTGGCAACATTACGTTTTGCAGTTTCGAAGTCGACGTTACGAGATAAACGATAAACGATAGGGGAACGATAGCAGAGAACGGTTCGAGTCTACGAAAGGTCTATCGTAACGAGACCAACGAGCTTCGAGACGAGCAAGACGGAAACATTCGATGCTCCCAATTACGTTCTAAGCCGCAAATGTGTGTGTGTGTGTGTGTGTGTGGCCGGGATCGCGGTCACGCGGCGAAGCGACCGAGATCGCTTAATTTCGAATTGTTGCAACGATTCGCGAGTGTACGAAGGGTACGATAGGCATTTTGGAACTTCGTTTCTTTTCCGTTCGTTTCGCTCGCCGTTTCCAAGACGAATCGTCCTAGATCGGCGGATCGGTAACAAGGCGATGCAACGTTCGGTTTCGCGACAAATATTGTCGATTTAACGGCAGTGATCCGAGTATAGCTGGAGGTACGATCGATCGAACGAAGCTGACTCGAGCGGGACCGGTTCTCGAAACAATGCGCATCGAGGATATTCGAGCAGTCCTCGGAGAATCGATCTCGCCGATACGCAGAGACACGGTGGGGATCTCGCGTGTTCAACTCTCCCACGGTTTTTCCATCTTTTGCCACGCGCCGGTGCAAATAATCTCGCCGTTCTCGCAACGCGTTATCCTTTCGAATAAATTCGTCGCTCGTTCGGCCGTTTCGTAGCTTTCCAATCTTATTCCCGATACGCGTACGCTCAACCCCGAAAATCCCCGCGAGGTCGAGGTCGAGGTCATTCGTTCTAAGAAAATACTAGGGTTACCCGGTTCACGCGTGCGCGCGAATATAACCCACGCTCTTCGCGTATCGTAGAAGATGCGTTCATCGGGGGGTATTCGGTTGTTCGTACATGTACTCGAAAGAATATTTGAGACAAAAGAATGTTACGTAGGAAATTCGCAGCTTTTATAGTCTTTCGTCGCCGCGTTCGTTTCGCGTAGAAACTCGCCGCGGCTTTCTTATTACGCGCGACCGGCGTCGCGCTGAACGCGCGCGCAGTACTCCGTCCGTGAACGCGCTATCTCGAAATCGAGCGGTTACGGACAACATTTGGTATACGATTGACCGCGGAACGTATAAGAAACGTAACACGGCGGTATAAATAGTAAAGCGCGACAGAGCTACCTTCGGTTATACGACCTCTCGCACAGCTTCGGGATTCCTAGCGTCCAGCGAACAGCCGCGACGCGCCGTCCAATGAAATCCGACAGTAAAATGTACACCGCGTACGATCTACACGGTACATAGTCCGCTCCCGTGTCCGAGACACGAGACGCGAGAGCGTGTTTATAGACGGCGAGCGGCGTATATTTAATGTCGGATTTCATTAGTTAACGGTACAATTTCATTAGCGACGCGAGAAGCTCGAGGTCGCGAGCGAGAGGTCGCACGACCGAACTTCCATGCGCGATACGCGCGCTTTTTCACCCCTTTCCCCGCCGTCTGTGTTCTCGCGTCGATCCAATCGAGATATTCTTTCGCGAAAAGCGAACGGAAGGTGCACAACTAGTTTCGAAAACTTGCCCCTTTTCTCCCGTAAGAATCCCCCGTCGATTTGGTTCGCCGAGAGTGCGCGCGCGTGCGACAGAGAATATCGGCTCGAACGAATCGGTTCGACGCGTCGCGAAAAGTCAGCGAGGCTGGTTGTTCCCGGTATCTCGCACGCGGATTAGACTCCTTTCGATTTGGAATCAGCCGGATCGCCGAAAATATCGATCGAGGAATGTAATTGTTCGGGATTCGTGGTCAGCGGTTCTTCTTCCGCGGTATCCGGTCCGCTCCGAGCTCGCCGTTTGGCTCGCATGTCCTCGGCGAGCTGTTGCAACAGATCCTTGAAGACGTAGTTGTCCAGATTCTTCGCTATGTAATAGAGGAACAGCCAGTCCCCGAAATGGTATTCGTGGGTGACGGTGAGCATGCTCCACGGATTGTATTTTCCCGGGCAGGCGATCGAGAACACGTACTTGTTGAACAACGTGCTCCTGCGAACACGACGAACACGTATTCGAGACGCGATTCACCGTAGGTGAAAAACAAAGGAAAAACAAATTCTATGCAACGGTTGCGCTTTTAGGAGTTATTTTTCAACACGGTGGAAGAATTTTTAGCAGCGCCGCTCGGGGTCGCCGCTAAGGGTCGAACGAGTATCGGAGCATAGAGGAGTGGATAGAAATGATAACGGTAACAGTGATAACCTGGCGTGCAGCACCATCGTTAATATCCTCCACACCAATCCCAAACCGGTGATCGCCGACAGAACGATGAACCAGTACCAGAGAAACACGTAGATCTTTTCGTTGACGATGTTCAACGCCATGACGCAGAGGGCGTCGTGTTGCTGTATACCCCCGGAAGGACCGTACTTGTAGAACCTGCATTTGGTCACCTGGAACGTCGACGTCGGAAACGGTGATCTCGGTTCGACTTTTATCGAACATCGCTAAATCGGATACGAGTAATCTCGAACGCGTTCCATCGGACGCGCGTATTTTTATCGGAAAGATCCGCGTCGCTTCTTATCGCGCCAATTCGGTCGAACGCTTTTACTTCGAAAATGAAAATACCGAGAAAGACCGGCCACATCTCGCGATGCTTATCGAAACGCGGACATTTCCGACGGACGCCGCGACGTCCGAAACTTCGATAAACTTCGAGACGGATAACGGCACGAACGATCGAAAAAATTGATGCAGCGAGACGTACCTTGGGAAAGACCACGTCGAGGACATCCATTTCCCCGTGGGACTTGTCTCCGCCCAGCGCGTGGCCCAGACCGAGGAAAGCACCGCCGAGGAACTTGTCGGTCAGGTAGATCTGCGCGAGCACGTTGATGAAGTTGAGAACCTCGCAGAGGCCCAGGTAGTAGGCCCACGGTCGGTTCAAATGGATCCGATTCACGAAAGCGACGCGAATCTGTCGGATTTTGTCGTCCCGATTCTTTTTCGAGGGAATCACCACGTCGTTGTCCAGCTTCATCGGCTCGTCTTGCAAGGCCAACGACGACAGATGCAGCCCGGAAACCATGAACTTCAGGCGACCACCTGAACCAACGGGAACGATCCTTTCTTAAGCCGAACCATGGGACGGCGGGCACCCGAAAGCAAACAGGTAGAAAGCCCGCGTTTCGGTAGGTACGATGGGAGATATCGCGGACGCGTTTCCGTGGCTCCAAAGAAACACGCTGCGCGTGCCGCAATTTCAAGAAATTCTAGATGCTAGATTCCACATAGACTACGCGTTAATTCGATGGGATAACAATATTACGAAACCAACGAAACATCAGCGGTGAAACGCTGCTAATACGAAGAGAGTTACCGGTGATCGGATCGAAGCGTTTTGCCTCGCAACCGCGAATCAGTGGCAGAAAGGGGTGGACAGAGGGTGCGATCCGTGCGGGGCCTGGCGAGAGAAAAGCGCGCGCGCGCGCGCGTGCAACGAAACGAGAATAGAATAGAATAGAATTCCGACGACGAATTGCCGCGTCGTTACGAATTAGCGGGCAAGTATCGTCAACGTAACGTAACATTTTCTATTTCCGTTCTTGTTAAAGAAAAAAAAATACTATTTAGCTCTTCGTCGATCACGCTCGTCGGAAAGCTATTCAGCCGGTTAGAAAAGCGTTAATATCGTCGCACGGCGTTCTCGCCGGTTAGCTGCACCGTGTTTATTTCCGACGCGTCGACGGGTCTACGCTTTCCATAATCTTGTCGTTTCGCGACCAACGCGTAGCTCGATCGTCCACTCCCGATGGAAGAACGCGTGAAATTACGATAATCGGTATCGCGTGACGACGATTTTCGAAAAAACTGACCTTCGGCGCTCCGCCATATGTAGTGAGGTAAGTAAAAGAATATCGCCTGGAAAAACAGAACGAAGGGCACCCATTGATAGTAAGCATGGTGCACAACGGAATCGTCGTCGCTGGCTGGTCCTACTCCTGGATGCGGCAATTGGCCCGAGTGCACCAACGTCATGTTCATATGCTTCACCTGAAACGATGAAATCTTTCGTCCGGCACTTTCGTCTCTTCAAATTGGATCGTTCCGAATAACACCGTCGCCGCGACGAGGAGGATTCGCTGCCACGGTACAAAGTGTCGAACGATCGCAAATTATTTCCGTTCGGTGCCGATCGACGAACCATAGAACCGGTTATATTCGGTGGGAGAAATAATAGCTCTGTTACGCGAGCTTATTAATCGAACGCGCTCCTACTCGACAGCGCGGAGCAAACGACGCGGACAACTCTTGCTCGACTTTGTTCATAATCGATAGAGGCGAGCCGCGATCGATCGCTTTCGTTCGAGACGCGCAGAGGCCACGCGGAGGCCACGCAGATTCCCAGAGATCGGAATCGAGACCACTCTTTTCAGAAATTTTGCGAACGTTCGACCGCGCGCGGCTCGTTCGATCCCGAACCGTGGGAACCCGGCACGCCGACACGCCGACACGCCGACACGCCGACACGCCGACACGCCGACGTGCCGACATGCAACGGCTCCAGCGTTCGCGCGTAGCTGTACGTATACGTTCCACCCGATGAATTCGATCTTTACCACCGTGTACGTGGAGTTGAAGAAACAGAAAGTGTTGATCACCGCTTCCGACATCCCTGAACCGGTGATGCATCTTGACCGGAAAACAGAAAAAAAAGACAACCAGTGAACGACGGTTCTCCGATATCGTTGATCTTTTACGGAAGCGATTAACCGAGCGATCGGCGATTAGACATCGGCGATTAAACGTCAACCGTATCGGTTATTAATAGATCGCGATCGTCTCGATTAATTTTGCGTTCTCCGTTCGCTCTCGAAGCGGATCCGTGCATCGTTCGCAGCACACCCCGTATACGCGAAGGTTTACGCATATTTACACGAAACATCGGAGAGACGAATAAAAAATGATCGACGAACTGCGAACGAGGTTCGTTCGAGGCTGCTCGAAACGTTCGAAACGTTCGAAACGTTCGAAACGTTCGAAACGTTCGAAACCCAACGAACCATCGAATCGTGCGAGTAATTTCCCATTCGACCACGTTCGCGCGACCATTCGCGGTCTGATCGTTCATTTTCGCTGCGTCGACTGCGCGATTAATCGCGGCCTTTGCAATGTAAATAACCACGTTCTCTCCTCTACTCTACCTGATGTGTTCTCCGAAGAATTGCCTGGACGTCACCAGAATAGAGCTGACCAGCAGCAGCAGGAACGTGGCTCTATAGTGGAGCTTGAAAACTGATCGCGAGAGAATCGCGGTAAGTCGGACGAAACGAAAAAGTATCGTCGAACCCTTTGCAACTTCGCGTCCCTTCCAACGACTCGACGATCGAGGACTATGGAAATACTCGAATCAACCGTTGTTCCATTCTTCGAAATCGCGAATTGTTGGGAGCGATTTGAAACGTTCGCGCAAAGGGTCCGAGAGTGCGAAGGATTTCGATTACCGATGTTGTCGATGGCCACGGCATCCTGGGAAACCTTCAACTTCACGTTGTCCTTGATGGCCGCGAACGTGGCTAGGACCGTCGTAGCCATGCCCGCGAGATTCGTTCGGTCCTGTTCGACGAACGATCGAACCCTGATCGGTTCTCACGATCCGAATACGCCTCGCACCGCGCGCGGCACCACGGCGCAGCTGCCCTATGCCCTTCGCCCTGCGCCCTTGCGCCCTCGCGCCCTATGGGGGTGTCGTACGGGGAAACGAATCCTTCGGTCGATAGGAGCAGCCGCGGCACGGATCGCAAGAGAAGAACTATACGCAACACCGATCGAACGTTGATCGAATCCGCACTAAAGTCTACGGGGCAGAGCAATTCTCGTTTCTTGTTATCAGCGACTACGATTGCGCAGTAGCTCGAGAGTGACAACGTTTCACGAAACTCGAAGGAGTCAGCGTTATTATTGTGAAGGCACTTGTGTCCGCGCTGATAAGGTCGGATAATATCAAAACTAGAGCGATCGTTATAACGCGATCGCGACGAACGTCGCTCCGCTTCGGACGTTTCCTCCGGCAACGACCGCATCGATCCGGCCGACCGTTCGTCCCAACCGACGCATCCATTTTTTTTTTTAATAAGAAAATATAATTAGAACACGCGTCGAAGCGAAATCGGCGAAAGAATCGTCCGTTACAAATGGATCGAAATTTTGTTTAGCGAAAGTTGGAGAGACGGGGGTAATCCGTCGACGTCGAGCGAACGCGAAGCTTGTGCCATTAATTGGAGAGAAAAAAATAAACGCGTACGTTGCAACGCGATGCGTAACGACCGCGAGCATAGGACATCTCTTTATTTATAGATCATAGGCATATTTCGAACCGTTCGAACGCGTATTCAAGGATAACCAGCGGCACTGGTTCTCGAGTCTTGAAAAAACGACGGACTGGGAAAAAGATGCGCGACGACGCTGGCCGCCTAGTATCGCGTAAATGAACATTGCAAAACCGTTTCAACAGATGCATCCAGTTGTTCGTCGAATCTTAGGCCCAACGACTATCGTTCTATCCGCAATCTCGGTACCGAGTACCGCAGGAATTTTCTTCCACTCGGCAACTAAATAACGCGTATTACAAGTGCAACTGTTACTCGATCGGCGATAACGATGCCAGCTTATCGGGATTAGACGAGCGTCGAACAAAATGTCGACGAAAGATCGACCGAACTAAATATATATAAATATATTCGCACGGATAGGCCAAGGACTGCGCGACGCGCCTCGTCGTTTTACACAGGTTTATTATTCTTATATAATATATAATATACGATAAAGGAACTTTATCGTCGCGATCGTATCGACGCGGGTGGATTACATAGATCACGATTCCAAGAGTTTAAGAAACTCGACTATCCGGAGCGCGATAAAATAAAGACATCGATAAAATGTAATTACTTTCTCGCGTTGCTCTCGACAAGTGCATTTGTCGGTAACTCGATCCGACGCGGATAACACCTGTTCCGAGAAACATAAAGTTCTACTCGGCCCGAGCAATCGATCGAGCCGCGATCTTGGCTTCGATCGAACTCGTCAAATATAAAGATAAATATTTGCCTGCGACAGGTACGGGGATGTTTATCGGTGTCGGAAACGTTTCGTCGAACGCTGTACGGCACCGGTCGGCGGCATCTCGCGATAGATATTCCAAATCTACCGTTCGTTTCATCCGTCTTCGCGGAGAAGTTTCTTTTACGAAGCCGTCCGATTCGGCGCGGGCCCTAAAAGAACCTGTTTCCAAGGAATTCCGATTGCGCGCTCTACGAGATATCTCTTCGATGGGAACGCGCTTATCGACGACGTCCTCGAGGGTAACGTTTCTTCTCGTAAAAATTCCACGGCATCGGATATTGTCTAAACCGAGCCCCATTCGATCGCGCGTACAGACACGTACAAGATCGAATAGAATTTTGTTCAACCTTTTAGGCACGACGCGTCGCTATAGCGGCTTGCTCTAGCAGCTCGCTCGCTCATCGTTCGAATCAAATAATCGTCTTCGTATGCATTGTTTCGCACTTCTTTCGTCTTCGCGTCGATTTACAACAGTCTACAGAGTGTCCGAAAAATGTCTCTCAATCAGGAAATGGCGGGTTCCTCGGATCGTTCGCGAAGCAACTTCTTCCTTTACAAATATGTTCTCCGAGGCACCCTTAACGAGTTATCGACGAAAGAACAGTGACCAATAAGAATCGAGTACGGCTGACGCGAGGCGGCCCAGCTAACCAACACGCGAAGCCCGGTTCGATCGCCTCGCGCCAGCCGAGCTCGCCTCTCGTTGGCCACTGTTTTTCGTCGATAACTCGTTAACGATGCCTCGGAGAACATTTTTGTAAAGGAAAAAGTTGCTCCGAACGGCCTAAGGAACCCGCCACTTTTGGATTGCGAGACATTTTTGTCGACCAGAGAAATAGCCTCGCGCAGAATTCAGCCGTACCTAAAAGGTTAAAAAGCAAACGTTTCGATAACCGATTCCACGATCCATGCGACGAAATACGTACGCGACTCGCGATACGGACGAAGATCGAGAGTGAGAGAGCATCGCGTAGAAATTCCTGTCAACGGTTCGACGAGAAACTCGGTTCTCCCTCGAGATCGTCTACCGCGATTATTCGCGAGAGAAAGGATCGATCCTCGCGGCAAGAATAATTTCGTGCGACGAGGATATACGCGGGTGTTCGCGTTCGTCTACGATCTACGCGATCATCGTATCTGGCACACCGGCGCACCGCGACGCGCAAGTTACGAAACAATCCTTCGACGATCTATATCGACCCGATGATTTCACTTAATCGCATCGATAGCAAGACAAATACGACGATTAACTCGATCGGCGATTACTCTCCGACAGCAGCTTTGTTCCGTTCGAGAGCGCGTCCGTTAGATACGGATCTTATCGAACGGCCGAGCGGACTATCGTTCGGTGATTTTGTTCGTTGCAAAACCACGGATACACGTACCGAGAACCGGGAAATCGTGAAACGGTTATCCGTGGAAAATCTCCCGAATCCGAAGTAAACGTCCGAAGGTCGACGATAAAATGATCAACGTTCAAAAATAAATGAAAAAGGCGACGATCGAAAATTCGTAACGAAAGGCTGCGATGTTCGGACGACGATATTCGTACGGGGTACGAAAGCTGGATCGCTGGCGCGCGGATCGCGGAGCAACGAGAAGAATCGGAGAACTCGGTGGTTCGGTAATGGCGGCGAAAGTGGGGGAGGCTCGAGGCTCGAGGCCCGAGGCGCGCGAGGAGACAAGAAGATAAACAGGTACGAAACCAAGGTGGAAAAGGAGTAAGGTCGCGAAGAAAGAAGAAACGGCGATCAAGAAGGACAGGAACAAAGGAGGAAGAGGGGATAGAATGTCGAAGGTAGGACTTTGACCGGCCGTTGCCCCTGACGCGGTTGCCTCCGGCCTGCAAACCGAACGGATCCTCCGAAGAAAGCTCTGTCCTCCGGCTTCTCCGTTCGCCCACGTGCATGTATTGTACGCGTACGCGGAGAGGCGCGCGGGCAGGCCGGGATATCTACCCGTCCATTTACGGTTTACCAGAACCGCGGTAGAATCGCCTAGACTCTGGACGCTCGTCCGCTCGCCGAGCTCTTTTATAGCACGAGAAACCAGTTCCTCGAATGCGAATAAGCCGCGTTTCTCTTTTCTTTTTCCTTTTTCCGCCGCGTAGACGCGGAGGATCGATCGAAAAATGGCGCGCGATGCGCGATGCGCGATCGTTCGATTCGTCGGCGTTCGATACGGTAGGTACGCGTGCGCACGGTGGTCGGCCCGGCGGAATGTAGAAAGTCCGTGCGAGTCGTTCTCGTCCCTGCGTTCCCTTCGTGGAAAGAGAAATTAGGAACACGAATGGTTGGAACCGGGTGGAACCGTTATCGGCGTTACGGACCCGACCGTAAAATTCGAAAGACTCGACCCCGCGTCCCGCGCGACCCACGTCGCCCCTGTCCCCTCTGCCGTCCGCTCCAGCCGGGTTCGTTTACCTGGAACGCGACAGTTCGGGCCCTCCGGAGTCAACCGAGGCGCTCTTTCGTTTCCAGTTTTACGCAACCGCGACGGTTACGCGTGCCGACACGATTAAACCGCGAATTCTTGAACAACGCGAAGCGTTTAATTTAGGAAAGTAACTCTCTCGGGCGACGTTCAAAGAGTTGAAACGCGAGGCGATAGATATTGCCGCGGCGACGGTACGGTTTCGAACGCTCGTTTCGACGCGTTCGGGAATCCGAAACGCGACGGTCGTAAACGACGATACGCGCGAAACGCGATAAATCGTTCTGCAATATAATTGTAAAGATAACTTGAACAAAAATTACGTTTTTGAATTGTTCGAAGATACGGCCGGCCATCGATGCCGTGCCCTCGGCTCGTGATAATCTAGAATCTAAATCGCGTGCCAAAAATCACCTCCGAGCGGTGTTGCCGCGAAAGAAGTACGCCATCGAGACTCGACGAATCTTTCGACGAGTAATGTTTGCGCAAAAACCTACACCTTTAACGTGCACGAACGAAGCGGTCCGATCGTTTTCCAATAATTATGTTCCCAAAAAAGAATATACCCTTGAGATGGAAAAAACGACGCGCAACCGAGACGACGAGGCGAGAAAGACGAACGAAAACGTTCGAAGAATGTTACAAATTCGCTGAACTTTAGGCAGGTATCTTACGAGAGGCCGGAGCCCGGCTAGAGCGAGGCGCGAACGACGGCACGCTTCCCAAGGAATTCATTGCACGGCCGATTTAGATAACTCCCGAGGAAGATAATGTTGCGATTTCACGCCGCATCGACGCGCGCCGAAGCTACACGGTCGGGTTACTCTAATCGGCAAAATGAGAATAATCTTGCTCGCGTCCCCCGATGCAGCGCGGATCGGGGGATCCGAAATTGGTTGGACCTCGAATATCCTCGGGACGAGCGTCGAGGTGCGTTTTACCGATCGTTAATCTCTAAACGGAGCACGCGTGCACGTGCAAAGTGCGAAGAGCCCCCCTGCGCGGCCGCGCGGTCGTTAGGCTATTTAATAAATTCCATCGGTGCACGGTGGTGCCTCGGTATATCCCGCTGTCGCAGGGTCATCGGTTTAAAGTTGAACGAAAGGTCGAGATTAAACGGAAATTCAATTTCGCCGCGCGCGGATACCGAGAATTTGTCTCGCGGAATCGATCGCCGCGTTGTCCCGAATTCGTTGGATGCGCGCGAGATACGGCGGCGACGCGTCGACGCGTCGACGCGGCGCTCGATCTCGGCATCTCGGTAAATACAAGGGAGAGCGACGGGCGCGATGCCGAGGACGTTCGACCCGTTGCTAACTCGTAATCGGAAAATGTAACGACTGGTTACGTACGGAGCGGAGTTGTACGTCGTGTACATAGATCGCAACGGTACGCTCGTACGCGAGCCGCGTTCCAATGTCGCGCAACAGGTCGGACGAAGCGTCCGCGGTTTATCTACCGCTAATAAACTAAATGGTAACGAAACAATTATTATTATTATTAGAAATACCGTAGGATCTCGGGGAACGATAGAACATTTCATCGACTACCCTTTGCAACTTTTCACGCGAATGCCCAATTCGATAGAAATATAGTAAGCGCTCCGTGTCATCTATTCCCAATCGCGAAAGCACGAAAGCTCGCACGAATTTCGGAAGGTTATTCTAGGAAAAGCTTCGATTAACGAAGACTCGTTCGATCGGAAGGGGCACTGTATCGTTTTATCGGATCGTCGACGCGCTTCTCGACGCGGAATGCTCGCCGTGCTCGATCGTTCGGTAGAAAATATTATTGAATTTAACGCTCACGGTCGAACGAGAAACGGAGACCGTTAAAAAAATGTGAAACGCCGAGCCAGGAGGATGAACGCGCGTGCACTCGACGCACGGATTAAGAGCGATCCGGTATCGGTTGAACGAGATTAATGCATAAATCCTATTCGAACGCTATTGTCGAGGTTCGAGATAATCGTTGGTCTTTTTATAGGTTACCAAAATTATCGAACGCGAAGCACTCTTCGAACACGAAGAGAGCGTCGTAAATATCGTTCTCGCGTGCAGATTCCCGTAGTCTTTGCACAAGCGATACTTTCGCAGAGTACTAAAAATTGTTCGATACGATCGTAAGAGAAATGAAAAAAAAAGATCCATCGAAAATGGTGCACCAGTGTTACCAAACTCTTTCAACGTTTCCAACGAAGAAGCGCGCAGAGTTCGGAGCGGGCTCGCTGCCGATAAAGATCCTCCAACTTTTTGGCAAACGCGCGGAAAGGAGATGCGTCGGAAAAGGAATCTGGATCCGAAAGAAGCGATTGGAACCATCGATTACTCGCTGACATTTATTTGTTCGATTTAACGATAGAACATTCGTACGAAAATATATAGGATACTCGGGCAGTATTTGTCAGTTCTCGGAAAGCGTGTTTCGAAGGCCTGCGCGAACGACCAACCGCGTACAATGTATATGCGCTGGCCGCTGCCTTTCGCTCGATCTTCTCGCTTCTAAACGACTCGTACACATATATGTAACTTGGAAATTTCGTTCGTAACGCTGAATCGCGGGAACGCTGCGTTCCCTTATTCGCAAGGAATAGCTACTACGAGTATATCAACGAGTAAAGAACAGTATTATTACTAGAACAGGAATAACGCACAAATTGTCATTACTAACCGATTATCACTCGTTCGTCCAGCAATTCTCGTCTAGCTGGATCGTTTGTAGAACTACGTGTACATAAACATACATACACACATATATATATATAAATAACTACGTAAAGCGGAGCATGAAAATAGGAAGAACTAAGTAACATCGGTGTTTTCAACCGTGTAAAAAAGATGTTCAAAGGGGAATCGAACTGTTCGAAAAAGCGAACAACGAGGCAACGAAAAAGACAAATTTACTCGGGTCCCCTTTGCTTCGAACGATCTTTTTATACGTGTTCGTAATAAGTGGAGGCACTCGGGTGTCTCCGTTTACATGTCCCGTCTAATACGTGCTACGTATCGTACATATGTATTTCGTACACGTATAAATATATATGTATGTATATATATGATTCTATAAAAATTTATATATATATATATATATATATATCTATATATCTATATAAATCGTATCGCATCTAGAGGCGCGAGGAAGCACGTACATCGTGGCGCGTGCGGGGTACGAGTTCGTATGTATATTAAAAATATTACGTTGTTCCTAATCAGCTTGGAAATTCGTTAGCCGTTAGACCGAAGCACTGACGGTAAGCTATCGCTATCTACGAACACCGATTTCGTAGTCCCCTTCATTGGTCGTAAGATACACTCGCAAAAATAGGCACTTCTCTCCATCGATCGCAATTTCATCGTTCTGTCTCTCATTCTCTCTCTCTCTCTCTCTCAAGTCTCTTTCACTTTACTCATCTTCGTAGATTTTCGAAATACGCACTTTTACGCGACAGTCCGCCGCTAGTTTTTCCGCGTAACGAACGTTCTCGTACGATGGAACAAATATTTAACGATTGAATAGATATCGCCTACGATTATAGATAGCTGCGAAATAAAAGTAAAAATAAAAATAAAAATAAAAATAAAAAGGGGAAGAAGAAGAAGAAAGAAATCGCGAGAGGGATACGAAGGAAAGATGCGGAGTTGCGACACATCGAGAAGGGGAACGAAACTCGAGAAAATCGGGGATGAAACGATCAGAGAAATAAAATGTGCGACAAGGTCGTTCGAAGAAGCTGCTGAAATTCTATTCGCGTGGACGATTCTAAATAAAAATACAAAATACGAGAATCACGATTACATGGAGTGTTTGCGATTATACTTGGCAGTCTTACTTTGAGCATGGATTTCTCGCGAATCGTCGCAGATATCGTCTGTATCTGCTATCGGACTGCGGATGTTACGAGTTTTATTGGAATTTGTTCGAAACACACGGCAACGCGGATGCTTCTCGCGAAAACGTATCTCTATGCGCTAGGTTTAGATATATCTAGAGGCAAAATCTCTTATATCCAAGAATTAGCAATAAACGGAATTTCCATCAACATCTGCAGTCTACTTATCCGCTCTAGGCGTTTTATCGTCTTCGTGGTAGTCGCTACGCGGACTCTCGTCGAATCACGTTGCTCGCGTCGATCGGGCAAAATGAGCAGAACCGCGTGGGAGAGTACCGATGCCGCGAGGAAATCGGCGCAAATTTTTCGGTGAACGGGAGACTTTATCCCGTCCACGCACTGGTCCGTATTCTATACTTTTCTATTTGCACGATCTCGTGGAACCTCGATGAAATATGATACACGATTGCGCGCGTTCCAAAATGCGACTTTGCAAAAAACGCGTTAAGAGAATTTAGTAATCTAAAAAACTAATTGCCCGCATGTCTTCAACTGTTTTTTCTTCTCGGACTCATTCACTCGTTCGTTTTTTTCTCTCTCTCTCTCTCTCTTTCGCTCTCATTCTCATTAATTTTTTTCTATATATTCGTGTCTTTGAATATATATATATATATATATATATATATATATATATTTATATATATATAATAATAATAATAATAATAAATTTATATTTTCTATTTAATAAGACTGTCTACAATATACAGATGTAATTCCTATGTCTACGATATGAAATGTAATTGGTAAGACAGTGAAATTACGATTCTGGGAGAACGACGAAGTTTAGAAGAATAGGGAATGTTGACGCGACGATCGTTACGCGATCGGAGATCCTATAGAAACTAAAGCTACGCGTCCACGTAAAAAACATAGAGCAATTTTTTTTTCCAGCGAACAAGCCGTCGACTATCGTTTTCGAAGAGGTCCGTAGAACAGAAACGAATCTGTCCGCGTCGAAGCACCGGCTTTCGGTAGCGTTTTACGTTTGCTGTGTAAGAGCAACGAAACGATTCGTTCTAGAGCGCGTCCGAACGAACACTCGTTGTTTCCTTTCCTATGGCATACGCGAGATTGGCAGTGGGAATTACTGAAATTACAAATGGAACTAACGAACAACGATATCTCCGCGCGAGCGAGAATGTATTCTAGAGAAAAAGGGACCCGTGCGTACAGGCGGAAACGGCCGAGAAGGTTTCTCTTTGTTCTTCGGTGGATGCGCACGGCTCTCGCCGAGGAGAGTAACGCGCGAAAGGGGTTCGCGCGCGTTCGACGGGGAGAACGAACGAAAAACAAATGGGGGGGAAGGAAAAAAAAAAGGAGAGAAAAGGAAAGAACCAACGTCGTCCGTCGTCCCCCATTTTATCACATAATCAGAGTCTACGAAGGCCCCCGAAATCAGTTCGGAGGAATTTAATACTAAGCTCTTCCACGAATGTCTTCTCGCGATTGCTGCCCGATGCTTCGGGAAACGTGTCGGGTGATATCAGCCGGTGGAAGCGGATCGTTTCGTTTCCCTTATCTCTTCCACTCGTTACCCTCGGTTCGGAACAACTACGACACAACGGAAACGAGAGTGTCGGCCGTCCGCGCCGGCTCTTATCTCCGGACACGAATCGTCTCGAGCATTCTTTTGGCACACTGTTACTCGCCGCGAACGCTTCGCGCGCCCGCGCCGAATTTTCTATTCGCCGACGAAAAGAAGCGAGAGGCGGTCCCGTTTCTTTTCCCCGGCATCGACTGCCGCGAGATCGACGACGATCGTAGACCGAGCACGCGACATCGACGACAATTTCGGAAAGTTTCGCGAAGTAAACGCGTCGCCTAAATGGCCGGGGTGTCGTGCGCGTACAGCCAGTCGACGAGTTAACGAACGACGGAACGAAATAGATACGCGAGAAGATGTATCTATGGACAAGGTAAACCTCGAAGCGAGAGAAAGACCGCGGAGGAGGGGGGGGGGGGGGGGAATTTTTCCNNNNGGGGGGGGGGGGGGGGTAATCTTCTCGAACCCGCGTCCTTTTTACCTATCGACCGAAACGCGCGCTTCCATCTCGAGATGGCGAGATACGACGAAAAAGAAAAAACGAAAAAAAGGACGAAGAAAAGAAAAACCAACGCGAGAAAGAGAATTTCCGATCTGTTCTAGCTGGACACAGCGTTTCTAGAGGTCCGTCGACCCGTATGCGTATGCGTATGCGTAAACACGAGAAAACGAGAGTAAATTTGTTCGTTACGGAAAGACGACAAAATGGGAATGGTCGAGCGGCGCGGCGGCACGATAAGGTAAGGTAAGGTAAGGTAGGGTGAGGTGAGGTAAGGTAAGGTAGGGTGAGGTGAGGTGAGGTGAGGTAAGGTAAGGTAAGGTGAGGTAAGGTAAGGTAAGGTAAGGTAAGGTAAGGTAAGGTAAGGTAAGGTAAGGTACGGTAAGGTAAAAGGCAAGGCGAAACAAAGAAGCCGCCCGATGGTGGTCGTCGGATGTCCCGCCCCCGCTCTCGCTCGCGGTTCGGTAAATTCAGGGGGTAGGCATAGGCTCGGAAGAAACAAGCGGAAAAAGAAGAGACGAAGAAGAGTCGGCGGGTACCGCTACTAGACCAACTCCTTGCCCTGCAGCTTGGTGGCGAGATCGGCGACCAGCTGTTGGTAGACCAACGGGTCTATGTTCTTGCCGAGCTGATAGAGAACGAACCAATCGCCGATCTGGCACTTCTCCGCTATCATCTCGATCTGTTCGGGAGGCGAGAGGCGCGATCGGGCCCGCAACAGCACCAGCCGAATCTTCGGGCCCGCTACCACCGCGGCGCGGTAGGCCAGCGTCAAGCCGCTCAAGATCGAAAGAATGATGAACCAGAACCAGAGGAACACGTAAATCTTCTCGTTGACGATGTTCAGCGGCAGCACGCATAGGCCGTCGAACTTCTGCACGGTGCCGGACGCACCGTATTTGTGGAAGGTGCATTTGGTCACCTTCGGGAACACCCGGGACATCGGGTCCATCCTCTCCTCCGGCTCCATCTCCGTGAACTTGACCACGTCCGAGCCGTAGGTCGTGAACTCCCCGTCGAGGAAGAAATCCATGAAGTAGATTTGGCCGACCACGTTGACGAAGTTCAGCATCTCGCATAAAAAGAACCGGAACGCGTAGAAGTTCTGCGTGTGCAAGTTGCTCGCCAGGTACTCGACCAGCAACTTCCTCCTTTCGGCCTTGCAGTCCTCGGTCATGACCGGACAGTTCAAGTCCAACACCAGCATCTTGATCCTACCGCCTTCCCAAGTCTTCCACAGATAACGCGGTACGTAGAACAGTATCGCCTGGAAGAACAGCGTGAAGCACACCCACTGATAGTACTTGTGGTACTTGACCTCGTCCTCGCCCTCGACGTGGGCCGCCACGCCGGGCTGCACCAGGTCCTTGCCGATGGTGCCGACTCGATCCGGGATCGTGAACGTCGAGTAGATCCAGCAATAGGTGTCCATCACGTGAAGCGGTATCTCGTCCACGATACAGTCTATAGGGTCGCCTATGTACTGTCTGGAGGTGACCAACAGTGAAAACGCGATTAGTATGATCACGGTGGCTTTGTAGTGCAGCCTGAACACGTTGTTGTCGATGCAGACCGCATCGAGCTTCAGCAGCCCCTTCACCGAGCCGAATACGTCGAACATCCTGGATCGTTATCGACTCGATTCGATTCGATTCGATTCGAATACTGGAAGAACGATGTCGGAGAGCGTGGATTCCGACGGTCTCTCGTTGGGGTCGTCGGCCAGGAAACCGCAGGATCTCGATCGAGGTTGTGTATCCGCGACGCGACGCCGCGCGTCAAGACCGCGTCTTCTCGGCCTCCGTGTACACGCACTAAAACAAAACAGGTAACGTTCAGACACCGGTGCTCGAACGAAGGAGAGACGCGGACGGCTGAACCGTGTGCGCGTGTTTCCCTTTTTTTTTCTTTTCGCTTCACCTTTCACAGATATGCGCCTCCGCCACCAGAAATCCTCGTTGGAAATTCCGGCGAAACACGTGCGTCCCGTTCCGATCGTTCCGCGATCACTGCGCGCGTGAGCACCGCTCTACCGAGAGCAGCAAAGCGTCACCGAGAGCGGTTCTGTCGTAATGGCTGCGTTCAGGAACGCTGTACGACACGAGCACGCGAGGACATGCCGTTCCACGAGCCACTCGCTACTCGCCACTCGCCACTCGTCCCTTTTCCACGCCTCTCGTTCTAGCCCGTTCGGCGGTCGCTCGTTCTCTCTCTCTCTCTCTCTCTCTCTCTCTCTCTCTCTCTTTCTCTCTCTATCTTTCGACCAGCACGGCACTCTGCGTCTCGCTCTACGGTCACTCGACACAGCTTGCCCGGGAACGGAGAACGGAGAAACTATTCGTTTGCTTCTGCTTGTGCTTCTACCGCTGCTGCACACACCGAGCTTCTATCCCCACTTACCGACCCGAGAAAACTCGTCCTCTCGCTCTCGCTCTCGCGTCCCTCTACCAAAGACCTAACCCCACTTTTCGTCGTCGACAGCGGCAACGGCAACGACGGCGACAGCGACAGCGACAGCGGCAACGGCAACGGCAACGGCAACGGATCGCTGGCAACTCGGCTCGCTGCTCCTCGTCGATGCTCGGCAACCGTCGGTTCAGGTTCGTTCCTTCGGTTCGGTACGCATGCGCGTCGAGTGCCCGACCGAGAGATCCTCGATCCTCTCGCAAACAATCTTGCTATCTTATGTTACACGATTTTCGGTAAATATCCAGCAAATAGGTACGCACGCGTCGTCCCGTTCTATTCCGAATTTCTCAACCGTTAACCTCTTCCAGCTTTTCCCGATCCTTTGGTCCGACCGTCCATCGGATTTTGGAACATTTCGACGATTTAACCTACCCGTCCGACGAACCGTTCGAACGATCGCGCATCCGTGACAACGATGGGACAACGACTTTTCTCTGTCCGGTAACTATGTATATTTCACTCTTTTACCAGCCTACGTAAACCGTTCGAACCATCTTGCATCGTCCAACCTGTCGTCGCCGAGTACTGGAATTCGATTTTCGTTGTACCGAACAAAACGTCGCGTCACCGTGACTTTTTCGAACACGCAACTTTTTATTGTTGCCGCCTTGTTACATATATGCTTGCAAAGTATCGAAGGAACGCTTTGTCGCGTCCGTTGCATCTCCAACGAACGATGCGTAAACACGTGACAATTGGACAGGACAATGTTTTGTCCGTACGCGTATCCACGTATACGTAACACGTGTACAGACTGCATCGATTACATAAGGATGCAGGTATCCGTAAAGAAATTTTAGTTTACAATTTTCCAGTTTCGACGAATGCCGTTGTCGCTTTACTTGCTTTTTAGTTATAAACGAACGAGATGTTATGCCATCGGCGTTCGCTACCATACCGTTAGGATTTCCATGCAACAAAACGTACAGCGAAACATTTTCATTGTTTAAGAATAAGTATTTTTCTTTTTTTCATTTCGTTATTACCAGCTTCCTTTAAACACAGTTTTACCAAATGTAAGATTAAATATCGATCGAAGCTACCGTTCTCCGACGTTGTCTGTCGCATCGTAAAATGGAAAAATGAAATATAATAATTCTGCGAGTATCGGGATGAAAGATTCAGGTTGTACGAAACAGAGCCTAATATGTATTGCCTAATCCACAGGTTTCGCGTTACAAATGCCGAGCTATACGTATCGTTCCAGGTTTGAAATTCAACACCGTTCTAGGTTGATATCGCGGTGAGCAGCAATCATCGCTGATAAATAATTGCTCTGCCCCTTATCGATCTTCGTCGTTATTATTCCGTTGGTTAATACGGCCGAAACCTTGACCGAACGTTTAAACTCTCGAACAATTCTTACGCGATTACCGCGAATTTAGAAACGCGACACGTCCGCGAGTGTTGGATTACCGAGCGAGCAAGTTATTATTACGGGTATCGCGACGCGACACATCTGCCACGCTAAATGGATCACGAGCAAGCACCGTCATCCGAATCCGAGTCCGAGTCCGAGTCCGTCTCTTTAACACGCTCATTATCGACAGACGTTTATCTTACGTTGCATTCTATGTAAAACGATCGGTATTTACAGTTGGATTCGTTCGGATCGCGAGCACTTTTATCTGCGAGCCGGCGAACAGACCCCCGACCGAAACGAAAAGAAGAAATATCTATTTGAAATCGTTCGTTTCGTTCGAACCGTTATCTTCGACGTTGTTGTTTGAAAATAAAAACAACGTCGATCCATTCGAAATAACAGCGCTTTCCATTAACGAATGAATTTTATTAAAAAAAAAAAAAAAATCATAATTAATTCTTCTTAAGAACGATCGGATCGATCTTTTTGTCTTGTAAAAAGTACGAACGAGTCGATAATCGGATCACCGTAACGATCTCCGAGAAGAATTTCACCGTTGACTCGAATAATTTTTAGGAGAAGTATAATAATATATTTCAAACGTGTCTATAAATCTGTCGGTGTTTCAGTACCGTTCGTTCAAATCGAATCACCTTTTTCTCAAGCGTATGCAACGTGAGAAGATAAGGCTTCTCACCTATCCTTTGCTCATTTATCGGAAAGTTGATTGGATCCTCGATGACACGTCCTCGTCGCGTACGATTGATAACGCTACACCTACACCTTAGCGTTTGGATTTCCGATTACGAGCGAACTTTCCAACGAGAAGATTTTTTTGGGACAGCTATATTATCGTTGTCTTTTATTTACGAGATTTTCCAACGATGTCGTTTTTCTTCGAAATCGTCCAAGTCGTTTAGAACATAGAGAGAGAGAGAGAGAGAGAGAGAGAGACCGGTAATATCGTATATGCATGTACGTACTTAGTTTCGGCCAAACTCAACGAAATCCGTTTACAGCAATGAGTCACCGCGAGCATTGCCTCGTTCCATCGCACGAACGATAATGTAGTTTTAAGTCGAAGGTTCGATTCGTTGATTGCGAATCCATTAAAACGAATCATTGTGTAAGAAAAATTGGTATAATTAGTCGATGATACTTATCGCCGTTACTCGGACGATCCTAACAAGGCTGAGCGGATCGACAAACCGTTTTCCACTACCGTGAAGCATAGATCGTCGAGTTTAACTCGACGACTACGAACGAATACGATGAAATTGTAAAATAACGCGACGCGAACGTTCCCTGTTGGCCCATTTCATAGAAAGATAGGAAATATTACCCCAAGTTCGGTCCTGTGGCGCAACGGATAACGCGTCTGACTACGGATCAGAAGATTCCAGGTTCGAATCCTGGCAGGATCGTGAACAATTTTTTTCGACAAATTTATAATCCGTTAAACAACGCAAGCGTTCGCGAATCGCTCCGATTCGAACGCGAACGATCGACGATAATTATTAATCCGATCTCTAACGTTCTGAAAAATTGTTGCTCCGATACCTTTTCACCGATTCGTGGTTCGATTTTTTGAATTTGTTAGACCGAAATATACGTTCGCTCGGAGTTGGATAAGATTTAGCATTATTTGGATACACGTATTCGGTGCGATCGTCGATGGCTAAACGATGCTGCGAACGGCGGTTAAAAATTGGTGAGATCGATGTCGCTTCTTATCCGAGAACGTAGAAAAAGTAGAGTTTCGTAATCAACGAAATTTGTTTCGTACGGTAGATAGCGAAAAAGCGGAATGCGCTTAATGGCCTCGAAGACGAAGCGCGACTGTAATTAACGTCGATCGGTCCGAGTAAATACGAGCGATCGTGCAATGCTGGACTCGCCGTAATGCTCGCGACATCTTTAAAGGCATTTTCGATGAAAATCGAAAAGACATCGAGTTTTCGTTCAGCATCGATGCACGTAAATACATTTGGCTGGTATCGATCTAGATTTACATTTGTACGAAGCGAAGTAACTTCTCCAAAACAGAGGCAATTTATCTCGCGGCATTAATTTATTACCAACAGATTTACCGCGTACCGGGGTTTACGGGACTCGCCGAAACGATTGTTTCAACATTTTTTTCATTTACGTTCGAGCGAGATCGTAAACGTATATGTACGCGCGATTAATCGAACAAATTTGTTTCTTCGAATTGCTAAAAATCCATGTAAACGTATATTTTGTAATCTCGATCCACGGCGTATTTTAAAATACGCCGGTTTCGGTGCTCCGTATTCCTAGTTTGGAAAACATCGTGTTAGGAAAAATCAAACTAGTTTCTCTCTAAACGAGAATCGACTAGAGTACATAGTTGCATTACGTTTCTCTCGTTGCACGATTAGCAATGTTTGTGATTTACTTGAAATTGCTCTGTCACACCGGATAAGATAACTCGGACACTAAAGACGAGATAACCAGCGATCCAATGCCGTTGTTCCGTTCCGACGTGACGAGAACAAGATTTATCATTACCAGTAGCGTATTCTTCTTCTTTCAACGATCGAATTTATCGGTAGCGGAACGATCGTCGCCTATCGATTGGTCTCGATCGAAGTTGATTCGCCGTTTAGATTTCTACGACACTCGCATTATCTCCTCTATAGTAATCGTTGACGATCGTTGGAACTACCGCGAGCCCTAAACTCGACCAATTTATGATATTTTGTATCATTGTATCGGTGAACTTTACCATTATCGAAGAACTTGACTCTCCGCGCAACGTCCACTCGTCGCAGTTAAGGCCGATCGTTCGTTTCGCGCGAAGCCTAATTAATAATCCAACAAATGCTCGAAAACGAGAATTCTTCGTGGAGAAAAATTCTCGTAGAAATGTTTGTATATCGGAAGAGAGTTACGACGGAGAAAGTCAGAAACCGGTCGATTCGCGACCGTTTTGGTTGTTCCAGCGAACCAACGTCGATTAAGAAGCGAAACATAAAGGATCGATTACGTTTAGAATATTTCGTTCGCTCCGCGGGTAAAATTCGAATGCATCGTTTTAAGGCGAGATCCTCGCCGCGTTCCAACGCAAACGGTAGGTAAGAGCTCGAACCGATGCAAAAGCGGAGAACGCGGTCAGGATAAGCGAAATCTACGAAACAATCGTTGCAATCGCATGGTTATCGATTTCAATGCGTTCGAGTGTTCGACCTATCGGTATCTAGCCGCGATCGGATGCGTAGGTATCTGCTATCGTTCGTGGCATTTCCAGCACCGAAGATATTGCGAAGCAGAGTCGCTGACTAACGCTGTCGCTTACTCACGTTTCTCCCGAGAAACGTATTCACAGCACCGGTATGCATACCTTTAGGGGCTGTTCACACCGTTCGAAGGCAAGACCGAACAGGTAGGAGGAAACAGGTTCGACAGAGCCAGGATATTTCGTCCAACGAAAATAGTAAGACCGTACCTCCCCCGTGGTGTGTGTCCACTCCGGCTTGGCTCGACTCGGCTCGGCTCGGCCCGTCCCGGCCCGGCGTGCCGGATCCGAAGAACCGATAGAAAAATCCTCTCGCGAGTCAAAGTCGGGTCTGTGCTTTTTGGTCGTTCGTGCTTCCAGCTCGATGGAAATCTAATCGGATCTTTATGCTAAATTTGATCCCCCTTGTGCAAAAGTTTCCACGTTCGACCGAAGTTTAGATAGAAATTAATACATTCGTCGAATAACGTCGATATGCCAAAAATAATGCGACAGTATTTTTAAATAATTTTAGTATTTGACGGGGGCGGGGCATTTGGATATTGTAAAAATTAATTTGCCAGCAATCGGTTGACGGAACGACTAGTTAAGATAAATCCGAAACATCCGAGAACAGCTAAAACGTTTATTCGTTTATTCGTTTATTCGCTATAGGACGCAAGAGGCGAACGCGTTCCCATCGAAAAAGTTAGCGCGAAATCCTCTCGAAAAGTTCTCCGGCAACGGCGCACGGGTTTTGGCAGCGCTTTCTCCGGCCCGGTCGAGCGGCCGAAGGACCAAGTTCGAGCACGGTTTTAAGCGGGACGGGAAAGGAATGCGAATACGCGTGGGAATATCTCCGGCGATTGGATAGTAATGCGTTTCACGCCTACCACGCAGGGATGACTATAGAAAATCGCCGTGGATACGTGGGGGAACGATCGTGCTATTAATAGCGTCGACATTCGAGCGCGATCCTGAATTTCGCCGAGGGCAGTGCGCGTATAAAAGGATACCTATTTAATGCCCGTGGAAACTAATTGGAGGCGAGCGTAGTCGGTGGGTCAAATAAATTAACCCAGTATGCACTCGGAAACCGGTTGCGAGACGCGTAAACCGAGAAGAGCTGTCGAGGCGACCGGCGGAGATGCATGACCGCAGAAAACTCGACGAAATCGGCAAAATCTGGTCCCGATGTCGATACCGATGCCGATACCGATACCGATACCGATACCGATACCGATACCGATATCGATACCGATACCGAGCCCCGATCCCGATGCTGTCGGCTATCGAGCTTCGTCGCGGTTTCATTAGCGGTATAATCGAGTCTTTACAGGTGTCCGACCGGAAACCATGCTGGAAACTGGCCGACCGATCATCCGTTAACTCCCGGCCCTCGGATGCCGATGGTCGGCCGTTGTTCGACCCGAGTTTCCAAGCTCGGTTTCTACCTAATTTTCGACGAAAAATTCTCGCCATCCGAAAAATCGCTCGCTGCGAAAGCGAGAATCGAGAGTACAGAAATTCGGGTCCGGATCGACCACGCGAGAACGATGCCAATTTGCCAGCACGGCCGATCACGGTCCTCGACGCCTTCGCTCGAATTTTCCTCCGGATCGGTCGACTCTGTCGAAGAAGATCTCCTTTGAATCGACGCGGCGCGCGACGACGGATTTTTGACTGGAAAAGGTTTCTCTCACCTCTTATCTCTAATCTTTTACCTTTTACCTCTTACCTCTTGCCTCTCGCCTCTCGCCTCTCGCCTCTCGCCTCTCGTCTCTCGCCTCTTACCTCTTACCTCTTACCTCTTATTTCTTAGCTCTTAGCTTACCTGCGGTCTGCGGGCTCGGAAAGGCGTCGCGTCGAGTCGACGTGGCACGATACTCGATACATCAGCTGCTACGGGGCCCTGCCTGTGACTTCTCCGTGTATAGCGTATAGCGTATAGCGTATAGCGTGGAGCGTAGAGTGCAGAGAGAATGGCGAGCGTTACGGAAGAGTGGGGCCAAAAGGAAGGGACCGGTTTTTCTGGTTTTCAATCTCTCCGACCCTTGTAGCCTATTCTCGCTACGTTCTTCGTGAACACGCGATAGCCTGTGTATATTTTCAACGGATATATTTCATCTTTTGCTCCTCGCCCGGGACTCGACTTCGTCTCGTTCGACTTTATTTCGATCGACGTCGAAAAATGTCCTTCGGCTCTTCGTGCTCCAACGGCGCGCAAGACGAGCTTACTCGTTGGAACGCGAAAAGTTGCCGCGTCTCCGCGACGAGTTTCAAATATCGTCTTCTCTCGCAGATATTCGGAAATTCGTTCGAGAATCGAAAGTCGAAGCGGCTGGTAAACGGCGATCGTTCGCGCGATCCATCTCTTTCTAGGCTCAACCTTCGAAGGGAAACGACGCCGACTGATCGAACGTTACCTCGCATTTCCGGTCATACGGAGCTAATTTTGGTTTACCTCGTTCGCCGGCGGCGAGGATGCGTCCAACTATTAATATAGCTTCTATTCGCCTGTATCAAAGCGATATTACCTATCGCGATATTAATCGCCGATCGCTTCGGCTTCGATGTCGTTGCTAACGCGTGTTCCAGTTCGCATGTTCTTCGTCATCCGCGAACGCATCTCGAACGCGTATCGTCCGGATGTTTGTTTACCGTATAAATTTAACGGTTCTCCCAGGAATATCGACGACGAGACGATTCAACGGATGATTTCAGGATCGTGCGATCGATTGTTACACCGATTATACACGGGTCTCCTTGTAATAGCTTTTAAATCGAAGGTACCGTGACAAAATTCTTGTTTCTAACGAATACGTAACAAACGAAAATATGTAAAAATGCAACGAATCCTTGTAACAAAATCTGTATTTCGCTCGTCTTATCTTTTTTACCGTAGACGCATCGAATCCGCGGCCTAATAATAATCGTCCTTAAGTATCGGTCGTTGGGTAGCTATCGTTTTATCCGCGACGTTTACGCGTCGCATTCGCCGTGTTCGAAGCCGATGATTCGGTTCCTAACGAAATGGAAAGTACGAAATGAAAGTAACGCGAACACCGGGTGTGCCATCTTTCCGTTGAAAAAGTTCGTTTTACCGAATGTCAGCAAAACTACCCGGACGATTCTCTTATCGCCGGTTCGCGCGAGTAAAGTTACCTTATTCCATGGGTCGAGGAACCCATCCGAGGGTTAATTGTTTACAAAAGCATTCGACGCGCGGTATCGTTAACGATTACACGGTGTTACATAACCACGATTGTGTAACTTTGTACGCTGCGTATTTATAACGGCAATACGGTGTGTTACAACCGTTGATAATACGAGTACAACGATTCAGCGAAGATCAAAAGACTCGTGTACGCCCCGAGACGGAATTATCTAATCTCGGTAAGCAGATTCGGCACAGCGGATTCGTGAATTTTATTATTCGAGCGCTCTCGTCGGTCCCCTCTCTCTCTCTCTCTCTCTCTCTCTCTCTCTCTCTCTCTCTCTCTCTCGTTCGAGTCGAGCAAATCGAACTTCCGATTTTGAAAATCTTGCAAATTGTTATCTTACCTTCTCCAAATCGAAGATGCGAAAAATCTACTTTAAACCGGATTCGCCCTATAGAGTGAAACCGTAAGGGCGGTCGACGGTCGTTCATCCTAATAAATGGACAACGTGTTCCGATCGGATTCTGCGAACCGAAAGACCTTTGAGCGATCGAATATTATTTTTATCGATCGTCTCGAGAATTTCTACTCCTTTCCAACGATACCCGTTATCGTTCTCCTATAAAGGTTCCCCGATCAAAATTTATCGTACAATTTTAATAGTTTTCCGATAACAAAATTGTAGACTCGAAACAGATATCGATAGGAAATTTGCCAAACAACGAAGATCTGGCCGGATATTGAAATATATCTTACAGGGAACAAAAACTATGTATTTCTAATCTATATTTATATGGTTGACGCAAGTCCACTAATTAACAAACTTCTACGATAGAATTCCAGATTTATTTCTCAACGTGGGAGGAGTCCGGTCTTCGTCGAACGTCGGCAGTCGTCGGCTGTTAGGATCAGGAATCCGCAATGTGGAATCTGTTGCCTGCCTGCCTGCCTGCCTGCCTGCCTGCCTGCCT